CTTAGGGTCTCTTACCGTGAAAGCCGTGTGATACTCTCTGTAAACGAGCAGAACAAACATGGTTGTTTTGAGTCCAGAAGTGTTTCTAGTTTGTGCTTGTTTGTGTTATCCTCTCCGCTCCTTCAGTCTTTTTTTTTGTTTTTGTTTTTGTTTTTGTTTTTGCGGTACGAGGGCCTCTCACTGTTGTGGCCTCTCCCGTTGCAGAGCACAGGCTCCGGATGCGCAGGCTCAGCGGCCATGGCTCATGGGCCCAGCCGCTCCGCGGCATGTGGGATCTTCCCGGACCGGGGCACGAACCCGTGTCCCCTGCATCGGCAGGCGGACTCTCAACCACTGCGCCACCAGGGAAGCCCTCCTTCAGTCTTTCTCTGCTTCCTTGCTGTCCTGTCGCAGCGACAGACTTGCGGGGTAGGAACAGTGCAGCTCTGCAGGCAGCCCTTCACCCCTCTCGCTACACAGTGGGGACTGAACGCTCCACTCCAACCTTAGTGGCCTCAGACCTCACCTTCTTTTGTCACTTCTGGGCGGTCAACTTGTGGTCTGTTCACCACCATCCAGCATAAGAGGACTTTACCTCTGCAAAGCCCTGTGATGATCTGAAAGCTGCATTTAGACTCAGCTGGGCTCAGAAGTGCTCAGAAGCCCCTCCCTCCCTTCCTTCTTTTCTCTTTCTCTCTCTCTTTTTTTTAACAATTAATTAAACTTTTCTTTCTTTTATATTATGACAGATTTCAGATACAGAGAACTACAGATACAACAGACAACGGGTTTGCCATATTTTGATTCAGATCACTCTATTTAATAGGTGAAATGTCACAGCTGTGTCATCCCTTTCCCCTGCCCTACCCTCCTCAGGTGTTCTCCATCCTGAGGTCATATATCACACCTGTGCCTACGTTTATATTGTTGCTCTGCAGAAAAGAGGTTGTATGAAGTGTCTCGCTTTTCTTTTTTTTGAGGTGAAATTTGCATAACAAAATTAACCATTTTAAAGTGAAAAATTCAGTGCATTCACAAGGTTGTGCAACCACTGATTCTGTCTAGCTCCAAACATTTTCATCACCCCCAAAGGAAACCGTGTACCCTTTTAGCAGGCTGCCCTATGCCCTTGCCTCTGGTGACAACCGATCTGCATTCTGTCTCTATGGATTTGCCTATTCTGAGCATTCCATGTAAATGGAATCACACAATATGAGACCTTTTGTGTCTGGCTTCGCTCAGCATGTGTTCAAAGCTCATCCACATTGTAGCAAGTACCAGTATTTCACTCTTTTCTATGGCAGAATAATATTCTGTTGTGTGAATATACACTATTTATCCATCCATCCACTGATGGACACTTGGGCTGTTTCCACCTTTGGCTTAGGTGAATAGCGCTGCTATAAACATGTGTGTCCATGTGCTGAACACGTCCTTTTAAGGCTTACTTCTCAACAAGGCCCCAGCCCCTTTGTTTGTCTGAGTGTCTCATCCCTGCAGTGTGCGTGGTGGTTTTGGAGAAGGGGTCATGGCAATTCAATTATGGGGAAACTGCAGGTTTTTGAAGACTCTGCTCCCCTAAGGGCAATGTGAGAGGCAGGACGGCAGCAGACCAAGCCCCATTCTCTTGACTGGCTACACCCTAAAGCAGGTTAGAGAAGGGTTCGATTTCCTCATTCCATGGAGAAACAGGCCCAGGAAGGTGAAGTGATCGTGTCAAAAACCCACAGCCAGGGCTTCCCTGGTGGCACTGTGTTTGACAGTCCGCCTGCCAATGCAGGGGACACGGGTTCGAGCCCCGGTCCGGGAAGATCCCACATGCCGCGGAGCGGCTAGGCCCGTGAGCCATGGCCGCTGAGCCTGCACGTCCGGAGCCTGTGCCCTGCAACGGGAGAGGCCACAACAGTGAGAGGCCCGCGTACCGCAAAAAACCAAAAAACAAAAAACCCACAGCCAGTCAGTGGCAAAGCCTAGACAGAGCAGGTCCCTGACCCTCTTCTGTTAAAATGTACCCATGGTGCACCCACTATGGAAAACAGTATGGAGGCTCCTCAGAAAACTGAAAATAGAATTACCATATGATCCAGCAATCCTACTCGTGGGCATGTATCTGGAAAAAACTATAATTCAGAAAGGTACATGCACCCCTATATTCATAGCAGCACTATTTACAATAGCTAAGATATGGAAACAACCTAAATGTTCATCGACAGATGAATGGGTAAAGAAGATGTGGTACATATATACAATGGAATACTACTCAGCCACAAAAAAGAATGAAATAAGGGGTTTCCCTGGTGGCACAGTGATTAAGAATCCACCTGCCACTGCAGTGGACACGGGTTCGAGCCCTGGTCTGGGAAGATCCCACATGCCACGGAGCAACTAAGCCCGTGCGTCACAACTACTGAGCCTGCGCTCTAGAGCCCATGAGCCACAACTACTGAGCCCGCGTGCCACATCTATTGAAGACCGTGCACCTAGAGCCTGTGCTCAACAAGAGAAGCCACCGCAATGAGGAGCCCGCGCACTGCAACAAAGAGTAGCCCCCACTCGCCGCAACTAGAGAAAGTCCGTGTGCGCAACAAAGACCCAACACAGCCAAAAGTAAATGAATTAATTAATTTTTTTAAAAAAAGAATGAAATAAGGCCATTTGCAGCAACATGGATGCAACTAGAGATTATCATACTAAGTGAAGTAAGCCAGACAAATACCACATGATGTCACTTATATGTGGAATCTAAAATATGACAAAAATGAACCTATCTAAGAAGCAGAAACAGGCATAGAGAACAGACTTGTGGTTGTCAAGGGAGAGGGGGCATGGGGGAGGGATGGATTGTGAGTTTGGGGTTAGTAGATGCAAACTATTACATAAAGAATGGATGGACAACAAGGTCCTGCTGTATAGCACAGGGAACTATATTCAATGTCCTGGGATAAACCATAATGGAAAAGAATATAAAAAAGAATATGAATAACTGAGTCACTTTGCTGTACAGCAGAAATTAACTCAACATTGTAAATCAACTGTATGTCAATAAAAATAATAAATAAATAAAATGTACCCATGGGATTTGAATGTATGTAGGTTACTGAATGCCACTAAAGAAGAATTTATTACTTACATTTCCCAAGAGAAGGGGCCATGCCACACCACGCAGGGCAGAAGGAGACGTGAGGGGAAAGCCGAGGCCACAACCCTTATCGGGTTTCTGTAGAAAAAGCAAGGCAGGGCAGGGTCAGCAATTGAGGACTGGCCTGTGGGAGTCGTTTCAGCGGGCTTCGGGGCGTGGGCGCTGTCCCTCATTGTCTGGTACCCAGCCCTGGGTGATTTGGGGAAATATTCATTTGGGGAGTGAGTTATATAAAGGAAGTGGTTGGGGGATTTCAGGATTGGTTGGAGAGTTTGCAATGTGATTTTTGCATGCCTTCGAAAGCTGGATTACAGGGGAGGTGTAACTTGTGATGAATGGATGCCAAATAGACAAATACAGAATCTAAGAAGACACGGTGAGAACACCCCTGGTGCACTGCTCTCAGCACTGCCCACGTTGCATCTGGAATTAGTGGCCCTGCAATTCCCAGCAGTGGTTTTCCTTCTTCCTCTTCATCTCGCTAACCCCTGGCAGTGGTGGTGGTGGTTTCCTTGCTTCTGCTCCCTTAGGAGAAGGGCTGGCCAACCGCAGACACTCTGACCCTAGGCCCTGAGCAGCTACAGTCGGATGTAGGTGACCCCAGCCCCTGGGGACAGCACTGAGGCCAGGGCCCTGGTGGTCAGGGACATCAATCAGGCTCAATCTTTATTGGGAGCTGGAGCGCCCTCTGGTGGGAAACCAAAGAGCAGCGCAATTCAAAATTCCACTTCAATGCCGGGCTTGAAGCCCAGTTATGTTATCAGAGCACCGCTCCTCTGGGAGCTTCTTTCTTGACGTGCCTGTCATGGGATTCACCCAGGGGCTTGTTGATGAAAATATATATGTCAAATTTCCACTGTGCACAAAGCACTTTCACCCCCTTATAAATGAGTCAGTAAGTACCGAGTTGCCTGACTCAAATACCTGCCCCAAGGAGCTCATCAGTGAGTCAAACATGCAAGTAACTACATTTACCAGGGACAATGTGGTAAAGCTGAGGTGAGAGCAGGGAGCTGATGGAGGACACAGAGTGGGGCAACAACTGCAACAAAGGGACCAGGGAGGGCTTCTTGAGGGAGGCAGCATTTGAGCTGAGCTCTGAAGGGGGACTGGATTTCAGATGTGGAGGAGGCGAAGCCCTTTTCAGGTGGAAGGAACAATGAGAGACCAGCGCCCCTCCCTACCGTTCTGTGTTCTCTGGTTCCTGACCTGTCCTCTTTCTTTCTATCTCCCTACTAACCTGTCATGGGGAGTCTCCCAGTCACGAGTCCTTAAAATGGCTTCTTCCCAGGGGAACATGGTGGCTGGTCCCATCTCCTGCATCTTGCCCAACCCACATTGCACACTGACTCTGCTAGTAGACACTTGGATTCTGAATCCTGCATTTTGTTGCCAGTCCTGGCTCCACCTCTCCCCCACTGAGGGACCTTTAAGCCAACCCCCTGCTCGGTCACTCTCAGGGCCTCCCCCTGGGTAACCCCTTACCTCCTCATCATCCTCCCCTTATCCGAGTTCACAATATGGGCCTCTGAGGAATATTTCCCTAGGAAAAGAAGGTTTTGATTCTTTTAAGGCAAGTTTTCAATGCACTGGATTACATGCATGTTCTTTGAGTGTCTTTCTGGCAGGGCAAGGGATCTGGGCCCCAGCCCTTGTTCTCCTTGGCTGTCCCAGGGGCTCCTCCTTGCCTCCCCCTATTTTGAGATCATCTTTTTCTCACCCCTCACCCCATGTATCCAGATGACATTTTTCCACAAAGAATTCAGACTGGGCTGCCCCAAGGACTCTGGATCCAAGGCAGCTGTTCAAGGGATACTCCTTGGGACCAGGGCAGGAAAAGAGCCCACCTGTGGCTGAGGAGACCCCGGGGTCACAGAGAAGTTCACAGTTCATCACCATCATCAGCCTTATTATTAGTAGTAGTCGTACTGCTGCTGTTTTCTTCTTGTCCCACTTCGAAAGTGGGCTTGGCTCTGACATCTGTCCTGCAATAAGACAACTGGCCACAGGGGGACAGCAGAAGGCATAAGCTTTACCTGAAAATAACTCAATTGCAGCCCCACCAAACAACACAGGTCACAGAATCCTAGGAGGAAGGATCCATTGCGCCTGCTCCCACTTAGTCCCAGAGAGAAAAGCCACAGCCTACAGCTGGTCAGGAGGGTGAGGCAGAACTAGAATCCGAAGACCCTAACTTCCCCCAGCCTCCCACGGCTCCAGTCCCGAGCTGCACCTCGACAGAGGGGTCTGGGGATGGGTCCTGGTCCACATCCTTCTGAGCACTATGGGGTCCCCAGTGAGACTCACTGAGCTCTCAGCCTAACGGAGGAGTCAGGACTACAGACCCACACAGGAGTCGACGGGAGAACAGCCCCCTCGGGCTGCCCCAGAGTCCCTGAAAGCGGGAGGAATCAGAGCAAGAGAGAGAATTGGGGGTAGCTGTTCTCAGGGACAGCTTCCTGGAGGCTGGCTTGGGCTGAGGCTGGGTGAGATGTCACCTGGTAGGGCGGGGCTCACACTTCAGGTCGGCAGGAACCACGGGGCCGGGCTGGGGCGGGAGGCGAGGGCTGGGGCCAGCGGGGATGAGAGGGCGCTGGGGTGAGGCTCGGGACGAGGTGGAGCAGCTCGGCCCTGGGAGCCGGCCTGGGGCTGGAGCCGGGAGAGGGAGCTGGGCGCAGGTGGAACTGGTCTTGCAAAGACCGTCCGGGCGGGGCTGGCTGGGCTCGGGGGGGGGTGGGGGCTGGGAGGTGGGCGAGATGGGGAAGAGGCTGCGGGAGCCCCCGGGGCCAGGGAGCTCCCCAGCACTTGACAGAACCCTGGCCTGCGGAAGAATTCTAGAACCATTTGCGGAATTGGATCAAATGCGCAAGGCGAAGCGTGTCCTCAGCTCCACATCAGTTGGGGTGTCACAGAGCAGAATGGGGCAGGCCTGGGAGGGCTCCATGGGCAGATAAGATGGGAGAGAATCCAGACGGCCCTTCCCAGGTCCCCCTCCTGCCTGCGTGCAGCAGAGGGGAGAACCTGCTGGCCTCTTGTCACCCCTGCCCTGCTCGCCCCACAGACCCCCCTCAGCCCTACCCCTGCCCGGGCCTCCCCTCTTTAAGGTGGTCTGCACACTCGAAGCCTCATTTTCCCTCTCCGACCTGCACAGGGCAAGACTAGATGTTCTCTGCAGGCCCTTCCAGGGCGACAGGCTAGAGTGGACAGAACACGCTGACCCAGACTGGGGGAGAAAAACTTTAATCAGAGAAGGGGACAGGGGCCTCTTTGTCCTTGTAAGGCCTCCACTGGACCCAGGGAGCTCGGGGTTGGGGTAGTGAACGTGGAGGCGGGAAGGCTCCAGATGGGCCAGGGAGAAGTCAGGCTGGCTGGGCGGTCAGGTCACGTGGCTTCATGGTGTTTTGCAAGCGCTTGACTGCCTTCTTCACCCGCACGTCCTTGGGGTCTGAACAGATGGATCTGCCGTGGAGAGTCACCAGCCTACCCAGAGGTAGAAAACCGCGCGGGCGCTCAGGGCAGGAAGGCCCTCCAGAGCCCCGGGACCAGCCTCGCCCTGCACTGACGAGGACCCTGAGCCCGCAAGAGGGGCAGGAACTTGCCTGAAGTCACCCAGGGCATCAGTGGCAGCTCTGAGACGCCCGGCTCTGTCCTCGGTGACTCCTGACCCTCCCAGGGTCCCTGCCAGGCCTGGCCCTCACAGGGAGCCGGGGCTGCACGACTTTGCCCCCCCATCCTCAGACCGCCTGCACCCACCTAGGCCTGGGAACGAGGGGTGCCCGGGAGGGGCCCAGTGCTCGGGGCTCAAGCCCAGGGCCTGCAAAGTGACCACATGGGCCGCTGACCGCCCGTGTGATATGGGGCTGTCCCATCTCTCTCAGGCCCTCAGTTTCCCCATAAATCAATGAGGAGCTTAGACCTCACAGCCTGAGGCCCTTTGGGGGCTCGCAGTGTGGGGTACGGGGGCTGCCCTGAGGAGCGGGGCCAGGGGGTCAAGGGACGAAGGCCCTGCTCTCTCCTCTCTGCTCCCCAGTGGCCCTTCTGGGAGCTCCAGGCTCTGCCTTCTCCCACACTCAGCTCCCAGGACAGGGGCAGGGTGGGGACAGGCAGACTCACACGACGCCATCCCTGGGACAGTCCGCTGGGGTCCGGTACCACCTCACCAGCTTCCTGAAAGGAATGGCCCCTTTGAAGTACCCCAGGCAGCACTCCCGGCCCACATTGGCTCCTCGAGCTGCGGGGGAAACAAAGCAGGAGCAGGTGTGTCTGCGGCTGTCTGCGTGGGGAGGGCGTGTGCATGGCTATGGCTGTGGTTGTGGCGGAGGCTCTGTGAGGGTCTGCACGTGTGTGTGTGTGTGTGTGTGCGTGTGTGTCTGGAGCCGAGTCTGTGTGTGCATATCTGCATGTGTGTTGGTGTGCCTGTGTGTGTCTGTGGTATCGGCGTGGATCCGTGTGTGTGTGTATTTCTGCATGTGTGTGTCTGTGTGGTTGGGAGGGGTCTGTAATTGTATTTCTGTGTAGGGCATATGTGAGGGGTCTGCACATGTGTCTGTGTGTGTCTGTGTGTGTCAGTGCGTGCACGATTGTGTGCATGAGGTCCTGTGTGTGCTTTGGGGGGCCCTTTGAGTTTGTGTGTCTGTCTGTTCACGTGTCTGTGTATGTTTGGGAGGGTTTGTGTATGCACGTCTGTGTGTGTGCCTGTGAGTGTGTGTCTGTATGTGTGCATATTTGTGTGTGTGAGATCTCTGTGTGTGTGCATGTGTGTGTCTGCGTGTGTTTGGGGAGTCTGTGCATATATGTGTGTGTCTGCATGTGTGTGCTCACACTCAGACCAGCCCCGAATCACCAAATGTTGACTCTGGGCCAGGCTCTGGGCTGAGCCTTTGCTACCGCTGCCCCTTCAGCCCTCAAGCACACCTGGAGACAGGTGCTGTCACTACCCCATTCTATAGATGAGAAAGTGGAGGTCCGAAGTGTGAACTCGCTTTCCTGGGACTCAATGTCCTCATCTTTGCACAAGACAAAATATCCAACACTTGCTAACTGGCAAGCTGGTGATCTGTGATGACAGTTAAGGCCGCGGCAGTGTTTTCTAGGAAGCCTCTGACTGTCCTCTGACCACTTCGGGGGTGGAACTTGGTTTGACTAACACGGAGCTGACCAGGCCCAGCGTTTTACGAAGTGAGAGTGAACGTGCAGCCAACTATGAAGATCACCTCATTAAGATAACCCCGAAGACTGCAGCTGTGTCACCATGTCACCACGCAGGGCGCTAACCAGCTTTATTTCTAAAGTAGCAATCTTATCTCAGTCTTCCTTTCCCAACTGAGTATAAAAATCTTTTTTTCACCTGTTCTGGGAACCAATTCTCCTGCCTTTACGCTGATCCTCTCATTGTATGTAAGACCCATTAATAAAATAGACTCTAACAAATACTTGTGAGAATTCTTCCTTTTCCACTGTCAAAACACAACCACAGTCACTGCCTGCCGATGCAGGGGACGCGGGTTCGTGCCGCGGTCCGGGAAGATCCCACATGCCGCGGAGCAGCTGGGCCCGTGAGCCATGGCCGCTGAGCCTGCGCGTCTGGAGCCTGTGCTCCGCAAGGGGAGAGGCCACAGCAGTGAGAGGCCCG